CTTTACCACGCTCAGTCGCGGGATCATGAACAAGCTTCGAGCGTCTTTCCGAGCGGGGAGGTGCAACTTCCTCCTCCTCCTCCTCCTCCTCCTCATCAGAGTCGTCAGCCTCATCATCGTCGTCAGCATCCGAATCCCACTCCTCCGGGCTCTCGCCCCCACTTCCTTCCTCCTCCTCAGTCGGCGTCTGTGCTCCATTGGGCATCGAGTATAACTCCGTGGTGGCCTGACAAGCAACAAAGCAAAATGAAGATCACTCGATCAATTCACAGCAAATCAGAATGGATAAAACAAAAATACACTCGGAGATAAGCGTCCATACCTTGTCCGGCGTATAGGTACAGTCGAGTGGCGGGATCCTCCTCGCTCCTCGAGGGTTGTCCTTGTTCCCTGTGATGGCGGTCACCCACCTCTCCAGCGTGGCGTCGTCGACTGCCTCTGGATGGACCCGAGTGGTGTCTTCGGTACCGCAGTACAGCCACATTGGGTGGCCTCGGTACTGGAGCGGTTGGATGCGCCGCCTAAGGAAGACTTCCAGAAGATCCATGCCCGTCACTCCATCCCGAACAAGTTGGACCATGTGCTCCACCAACATTTTTACCTCGGCTTTCTCCTCAGGAAGCACCTTCAGAGAAGACGGTTTGTCCACTCGGTCCATGGAGAACGGAGGGAGACCAGTCGACTGCCCCGGCGTCGACTCGTCTTGGCAGTAGAACCAAGTCGACTGCCACCCTCTGACCGACTCAGGAAGGGTCATGGTCAGGAAAGTGCTCTTATTCCTCAACTGAATCCCAAGACCCCCGCACATCTGAATGACCTTGGTCCTCTCATCATCCGGACTCGCCTTTTTCACTGTCTGTGAGCGACAGGTGAATATGTGCTTGAAGAGACCCCAGTGTGGTCGACAATCCAGGAAATTCTCACACATGGACACAAAGGCAGCAAGATAGGCGATGGAATTGGGATTGAAATGCTGGAGTTGCGCCCCAAAGAAATTCAGAAACCCTCGGAAGAAAACACTCGGCGGCAAAGAAAATCCACGATCTATGTGAGTGGCCAAGAGAATGCACTCACCCTCCTGCGGCTGCGGTTGACACTCGGTCCCCGGAAGCCTCGCTGACCCATGGGGGATCAGTCCCTCATTGGCCAGGTCATTGAGATCTTTCTCAGTGATGGTCGAGCGGATCCAATCCCCTTGGACCCAACCCTTCGGCAGGCGGGACCTTGACGAAGATCCGCCCCGACTGGACGGTCTCCCCTTCACTTTCCCCGTCGCCGTCGCCTTCTTCGCGCGCTCTAGGGCCGCCGTCTTCTCTTTCACCATTGTCGACAGTGAAGTGCGCGAGGTGTGGATAGGCGGAGGCAAGAGCAGGCGCGGCGGGCGGAAGCAAAGAGGGAAGAGAGAAGGGTGGGAGGGCATTGTTCAAAAAACCCTCCCCCGGCGCTTTATATAAAGACACTTCCGAGTGGCTGACGAGTGGGTCAGGGCGATTCTGTCACATCCCGAAACAGCCGCGCACGCACGATACGTGGCTAAAAAAGCGGCGCGGGAATCGAGGAGTCCATGCCTTATCCCATCCGATTGCCACGGTCCGCCCCGCTTCGCGCGCTTCCCAAATTTCGGATCCCGCAAAATCCGCTAACAGCAGATAGATCTGTCAGGCAATATCTTTCCTGCGATCCGTCGCTCGGAAGTTCACCGAAGTCCAAAAGTTCACTCGACAGAAGACAAGAATGGATCAAGGCGACCGAAGTATAAGTTGACGCCAACGCCGAAAGAAGAATCGCCGATCCAAGAGACGACATAATCAAAGTACAGTAAATAAGTCGGAGAAAATCATCAACTCCTTCCTCACTCGAACCTCGATCCATTCGGGGGCTAATGATGGGGTTATGTACCTAGGGTAGGGTCATGGACCTATCTAGGATACCATACCCAAGGACATCATCAGACGAAGCTACCTTCTAGGCGACCAAGAGAAGCTCCACTCGACCAAGGGAGACTCCACTCGACCGGCTAGAAGACACTCGACCATGAAGACGCACTCGACCGTCAGAAGTTCAGGATGTATGCTGTATCCAAACGGTCTGTAATTAGGTAGTCTTAATGGTCATGATGACACTTTATGTAGGGCGTTACCAGTAACGCCCGGCCTTAATGTACTTTAACCCTCCTCTACGTGGGCTGGCTGGGGTCTTGGCGTCCTCTATATAAGCCACCCCCTCCACTGGTAGAAGGGTTAGCACCCCTGTAACTCATATACACAGAGATCAGTCGACCGCCTCCGGGCTCCGAGACGTAGGGCTGTTACTTCCTCCGAGAAGGGCCTGAAGTCGCTAAACACCCGTGTGTACAACTACTCCATAGCTAGGACCTTGCCTTTCCATACTTACCCCCCATTCTACTGTCAGACTTAGAACCACGACACCGTCCAGGTCCGGCGCTGTCCAGATCTGCCATCCTCGGCCGCTGGGTCGGCAAGGACTCTGCTCCTGACGATGAGCTACATGCGTGGAGGTGTCTCCGTCCGGTGGCGTGGTGGCGGCTCGCTGCTGGCTGCATGGCGGTGCGTGGCTGGGAGATGGTTGCTGCCGGTGGCGGTGCTTGGTGGGGCGCTCATGGCGCCCAGTGCATCCTGTGGCTGCTGGTGCTGCCATGAGGCGCGGGCGATGGTGCGGTGTGCCATTAATAATCTAATCACAGGGTGTGTGAATGCTCAACTCGGTGAAAGCCATGCTCTGTCCAGAGCCGACGACTGTGACGCCCGTGGGCGCCACTACCCTTCCTGGAGGCGTCATCAAAATGTTGATTTCACCACCCTTTGCCCGACCTAGGAGGAAACTCTGCTTCCAGGTCTACCTGGAACCGATGATGGCGGCGCAACCGTGCGCCACGCCCCTTCTTGAAGGTATCATCGAGAAGTTGGCTAGGTTGTTTTGTTGGTTAGCTGCAAGCAGTGGGGTTGTCGGTGGTGGTGGTGTGACTGGTTTGGGGTAACGGTGGTGCGTGTCGGGGTCTGGCAACAACACTCCTCCGTGCTGTGGAGCGGCCATCTCTACCCCGTATGCATGTCCTTGGTGGTGTTCTGTAGGGATTTGGCGGCGGTGCCTTTGTGTCGTCCCTCTTGCTGTGCAAGCTCAAGACCTTCTCATGGCTACCGTTGTGTTGATGCGAGCTTCGTGCTCTTGGTGTTGCTTTGGTCATCTTTGCTCAATGCCGCGCAAATAGCCTCCCCAACTTGCTAATCGTCCTGAACTTCATTGGCGGAGCTCGTAGTCAAGGTTCGTGCGTGGCACTCGTTGACTATGGTGCTCCTGTGTTGCGCCGTGGGTTCGGTATGCACGCCAGTGCGGTGCGTTAGGTTCCTTGCAAAGTCTTGGTATTGTGTCCCTCGACATTGCCCCACAACTACTTGTGTCTTTTATGGTGTTGGTCTTGTTAATCTGCTAGCTATGTCCTGCCTTTGGTGGGCGCCCTACTCTTCTCATCTTCTAGTAACCTTGTTACTTGTACGGTTTTTGGCCCGGTTTTCCTTATAAACGGAGCCAAATTGTTTAGGTTTTCGATTTGGTTTTCCTTATAAACCGGATCACTCTCTGGCATAATAGCCACTTTGAGCAATATATTCAGGTGGAGGGACTCCTCCCCCGGTGATTCTCAAAAAAATAATAATTATTATGAAATGATCAAAGACAAGATAATTGTTTGGTGTGTTCTTATGGAACGTACCAACAAAGCCGAACCGTGCAGATTGGAAAAGCCACGACCTGCTGCGTGGACGACTGAACGTGCACGCTCGTGGATCAGGCAACTCAGAAGGGTCGATTTCCTCATCGGCAGGATAACATCCTTTTGAGATTTCATCTGGGTCTTCCACTCGGACACAAGCTGCTCCTCACTGATGAGACACTGCTTGAAAAACCATAAAAATTTAAACAGAAGCAGGATATGTATAATTGGTGGCAGGAGGTTTATTTTGCTTACAGTCTGAGCTAGAGCAGCTATGCTGCTAACAGCATCGACATTCCGACGGCGATACTCCTCGAGGTAGGCACTGTAGTCGGACCACGACAAGGCGGAATCCCCGATGGATAGCAGTCTGTCCCATCCCCATAGTTTCTCCAAGAGATCTTTCGTCGATCCAACAAGTGAAACAACATAATTAAGTAAGATTCCAGCACTGACGAACAAAGGAAGAAGCATGTTACTGTAGATGGCAATGCAAGCAATGGATGCTGGAGTTTGGTTCCTAGATAGAGTTGAACCATGGTACTTGACGATATGTGCGCTCGGCATCTCCTTTGTGACTGTGCCGGACCTCTCCATGTCTTGGATGAGACCGGTGAAGTACTCCCTGTCCTCTGCCTCTTCTTCCCTGCGCGCGGCCTCCATCCGCATCTTGTTGGCCATGTCCTCGAAACGCCTGCTCTTGGCCTCCATCTGATCGGCCTGCTTCTTCGTCGCGGTGTCGCCGAAATGCGCGCAGCTGAAGGGGTGCTCTGATCGTGCCCCAGCCGGGTCCAAACTCCAAAGTTACGGCGTCGCCGACAGAGCAGTCACCAAGGACGGAGATCACGGCCGGAGAGGCGGCTAGTACTACTTTACTATACTATCTCGTCTCGTCTGCGGGGATGCAAAGGCGCATGCAGTCGAGTTTGTTGGACGTGCCGCGGAAATCGGACCTGATGCGGGGGAGGGGAGAACGCCCGGCCGAACGGGTAGCGAGGGAAAACGAAGCCTTCACTTTCCATTTGCATGGCAAAGTCAAAATCTGGTCAAATCAGTCTTAAAAGATCTTCTTGAATCATCACCACGATCAGTACCGAGGCATCGTCGTCCCATCCGTAGCGTTAATTAACCGAGACTTCTTGGGAAACAACGGAAAGGCCCTTAAAATCCCACTCTAAACCCCCAAAACCAGCAGATCCACTCCTGTCCGGTGACCCCTGTCATTCCAAAACTCCCAGCCTTCCTTTCCTTCCCTCAACAGCTCGCGGCCATGGCGAACGCCGCGCAGCGGCCATGCAGCATCTGCATGGAGCCCATGGCGCCCTTGGAGGCCCACCGCGGCGGGAGCGCCTGCGCGCACGCCTTCTGCGGGGCGTGCCTGACGGGCCACGTCCGCGCGAAGCTCGAGTCCGGCCGCGCCGGCGCCGTGGGGTGCCTCGACGCGGCGTGCGCCGGAAAGCTCGACCCGGAGCTCTGCCGCGCCGCGCTCCCGCGCGACCTGTTCGAGCGGTGGTGCGCCGCGCTGTGCGAGTCCATGTTCGCCGGCGCGCGGCGGACCTACTGCCCGTTCCCGGACTGCTCCGAGATGATGGTGGCTGACGGCGACGGCGACACCGTGACGCAGTCCGAGTGCCAGGTATGCAGGCGGCTGTTCTGCGCCCAATGCCGCGTGCCGTGGCACGCCGGCGTCGACTGCGCCGCGTACAGGCACCGGGACACGGCCAGGGAGGATGCGATGCTGATGGAGATGGCCGCGGGGAGGAAGTGGAGGAGGTGCTCCAAGTGCCAGTTCTTCGTGGAGAAGACCGACGGCTGCTTGCACATCACATGCAGGTAATTAAATCTTCTTGCGAAATTCTATGAAGATGATTTTTGTTGCATCAAAATTGATCGAGATGGTGGTAAAATTAATTGGCAGGTGCGGCTACCAGTTCTGCTACGGGTGTGGCTCGCAGTGGGCTACGTCTTGTTCCGGCGGCTGCACCAATTAGGCCATATATGTATATCCTGAGATTATATCAATGCTCAGATGCATGGAAGGATGATTATCATGTTGTCGGGATATTTGTGGCCAGTTTGCGAATTGGTTGAGGATGATATTTTGATTGAGGATGATAACACTAAGCTAGTAAGAGGTGGTCTTAATTATTTGGCCATGATCGAGGAAATGAAATGATCCATGCTTTAGCCAGTTTATGGATTTGTTAGTCGTTGCTATGTGTCACAGTGATTGTTTGCTGAATGCGTTATAATGTTGTAGCTTATCAGATGATATAACTAATTATGTCAGCTCTACTAACCTATACAATAATCAAATGCAACAAACCGTATGTATTTCCAATATCAGTTCTCATATTATTAATCCAAGTGTTCATGTTTCATACAATCAAATTTTCTTGAATATTGCAACCAATTCATGTACCAACGTGCAAGGTATAATCTAGTTTCTTGAAACGGTGCACCTACTTTCTGATAAAAGATTAAATCAAGTGAGATATATGGGATACACATATTTTAATGATAGTACATGGTCCATCCTCTTACTCTGGTGGTTGGCTGCCGGTGCCTCTTCGCGCGTTGTATTGTGTTGCTCCACACTTCGCCGCTCGAGGAAGCACAATATGTAGCATAGGCGTCGATCTGTCATGGTCCCTACCTTTCTCTCCCTTCTCTCATTCGTCTGGTCGGTGATGCACCCCCCCCCCCCTCTCTCTCTTTGCTCACCACCAATCATGTATCCTACATAGCTAGATTGACCCGGTGGAATCATGCATGAGACAACCGTGGATAAGAGCGAGAACCTCGTTCGCTTGAACCAGAGCAGACGAGGAGGATTTGGGGATCAGTTGGTTATCTTTTTGTTGCTTGATGAAATCTGTTTTGTTGAACTTGCAGCAGCTTATTCAATAAAGTTGAAATGGAATTACGCCTACAAGTAGCAAAAGTCATTTATGATCACACAACCCAAATAAATAGATAATAAACTTTGCCATCACATGCTTGATGAGCTTCTTCTTTTGCTTGCTTAAGCCTTGCAAACTTGCAGTAATATGATTGGAGACTTGAAGTGAGTGGCAAGAGATAGCAAATAAATTATAGAATAATGTCAAATCTTGGCATAGCTCATGTGAGGTTTGTGATTAACTGAAACACTTCAAGCATGAAGCATGTATACCTCAAAAAATTAGTACAATGGCAAGGTAGAGACATGTTGACACTTGATGCATGATTCATCATAATATTGCAATGAGTTCAGAACTCACGAGATAAAACTACATGTGAGTTCACATCTTGCATAAGTGATATTTGTAGCCTCCTCTTTGGAGTCGTCTTCTTTGCTAAAGCTGCAGTGGGTATCCTCTCTAGACTAGTTCTAGTTTGTGATGAAATACTTCGAGAAAGAAAGCAAGGAGGATGCACATATACATGCTATCAAATTTATATAAGTATTTTGTTTCTCATTTTTTTACATTGTCGAACATGTAACTATTTGTTGTTTACCTTCTAGCGAATACGCCCGGATTGTCGTGTAGTATTTGTTCTCTACCTAGCTTTTGCGGGTTGCTAGATTCACCTATCATAGCTTTTGTATTGCTCTTTATAGGTTTTCTATTCTTAAAATTAAAGAAAACAAGCTTTATTTTTTGGCATGAGGTGATAATTTAAGCTTTGAACGAAAAAAATGACAATTGCCTTCTCTTGGTTCTAAGTGAGCACTTGTAACTAGCTTGCCTATGACCCTTTGTGCCACATTTCTTGCAAGTCACTAGGCCTCTAATCATTTTCTTCACCTTGCATTTGTGGGAGTAGTGCTACCATTCTTGGAACCTTTCTTCATGTGGCCACCTTCAAGGCAATCCTTTAATCCTCATTTTTCTTTATCTTCTTTTATTTCTAGTCTTAAGTATTGTCACCACAACAAATGGAAGCTCCAACCATGACCACTATGATTTTTTCTATCGCTGGCTCAATCTATCTCCCATAAGAGCCTTGAAATTATCCACAAAGTAGTACTAATGCACAAAACTGTTCAAGGCATTTTTGTGAGCTAGTTCAGCAACATGCAAGTCCTCAAAGTCTCTGCTCAAGTTGTAGAAAACTCTCGATATATTATTAGTGATGTAGTCACACTTGATTCCCGGAATGAAGACATACCTTATCGATTTGAGAGTGATATCGACTTAATCAAAGTCATACCTCATTTGATTCTCCAATAGTTGTGTCCATAAGTTACGTGAACACGTCTTTCATATAAGCCATTGCGGCAGAAAACGTCCTTCTGAAACCCCGGGACCTCTTTGCAAAATTATTCATAAGGTGAAAAAACATTCCCCTTGTTCAACATTATAAAATATATTCTTCATTGCATTCTATAAGCCTTTGCAAGCATTTTTAAGTTGATCCATAAACCAAGTTCGATTGTGTTCAGTATCAGAAGCTATAAACAATAGGCAAGTGGATACATCCAATTGTGGCCATCAATTACCCTCAGCTACAAAAATCCAACTCTACTTCCAAAGGCTTAGAGAATGCGGTGGAGAATGTATTTCCCAATGCTGAATAAAGGGAATGTTTTCCCATGTTATGGGGAATTTTGTGAAATGGTTCCGTGTGTTTGGAAGGGTGTATCTTGTGGCATGGGCTTATATGGGAGAGGTGTTCACAGAACATATGGAAGCAATTATTTGATAATAAAATGGGGTATGGCTTTTGTTAAGTTAGTGCATACTCTCAAGTGGGCGAGGTGTGTCTTCAATCCAGACATTAAGTGTGAGCTCATCTCTAGTAACATAGGAGGGGTTTCCAACAACTGGTTCAGAGATATTACGAACTTATTGCTGAACTAGCCGACACGATTAGAGGGATGATCATGGGTCTCTAGAGGACAAGGAGAAGGCTTGGAGGAAGACTGCCATTTGGACCGATCCTACTTATGGGGAAGAGGGAAAATACTAGAGGTTTGGGGAACTTGAAAGTTGTGAAATCTGTTAACTAGAGTGTAGAGATTTGATAAAATATCAAAACTTATTGAAAGGCATATTGTGAAGCTCAATCATAAGATGTGTAGTTTTGCCTTGAAGGGCAGAACACATACAAGCAATGTCAACATGTCTTGCCTTTGTGTCATCATAAAAGGGAGTAGATCTTGAACAGTTTATGCATATGTGTACTATGTGGGCAGATTCAAGGATGTTATATGGGAGAGAGATTGAGCCAATGATAGAGAAATCACAATGGCCACGAGTGGATCTATCATTTGATGTGGTGCCACCACTTCAAAATAGAAATAAAGAAGGACAAAAAATGGAGGATTCAAAGGATGTGTTAAGGAGGTCACAAGGTGTCACTGATGATAGCACTGGTCCCACAAATGCCAAGGGGAAGAAAATGATTAGATGCCTAGTGATTTGCAAGAAATTTGGTTAAAAGTATCATAGGCAAGCTAGTTACAAGTGTCCACTTAATTGAACCCAAAAAGACAATTGGCATTCTTTCATTCAAAGCTTGAATTATCACCTCATGACAAAAGTTTATTGTTTAATTCAAGAAAGAGGAAGCCTAAAAGGAACAATACATAAGGTATGCAAGGTGAACCGAACACCCCACAAAGGCCAACTAGAGAACAAATACTACGGGACAGTTAAGCCATGCATTAGAAGGCAATCAACGAATAGTTATATGTTTAGCAATGTAAAAAACAAAACAATTTTCTTATATATAAATGCCATAACATATATGTGCAATTGCCTTGCTTTATTGCTAACAGAGGGTATTTATTCACAAACCAGCATAACTACTCCAGAGAGGATACTAGTTGCAGCTCTAGCAAAGAAGATGGCTACAAAGAGGAAGCTACCAATTGGATGACAAATCTCCATTAAATTTACTATTCAAGCTGTGCATCCACATGGGCTGCTCTTTTAAGCGTTATCTTCAGTTGCCTATAAAAATGCAAAAGTACATCACCTATTGGTATATTTTTTACCAATATTACTTGGTATCAAGGTTACGTGAAATCCTTGAAATCGAATTGGGATATATGAGACGGCCTCCACGCTCACGATACATATTATAAATTAGAAAGTAGTATCAAAGCCTAAGTATACTAAAACGCCATGATCCACAAGAACCTTGGATCGACAATATTTGTGAGACGACACTAAGAAACCATATGTGTTTCCGAATGATGATAAGCATCCTACTGATTTTGCAACATGCTAGACAAAAAACAATTTGAATTGAAGAATTCCACCATACCTCCTTGCTTTCTCCTTCCACAAACATAAGACTTCCAATGCATCGGCATGTACCTCTTGCATGGATATAACACCTGTTGATTTGTTAAATCTGGAAAAGCTATTGAACTTCATTCTTGTGCACAATTAAACGCCATGTCTAACAAATGTTGACTTCCACCTGCCAAAACAATGGTTTAAACTATAGTAAACATACAATCTGTCATATGTACCTCAGTACTCGAGTTTCTACATGAATGTATAGCTTATTGTGTTGAAAATCTACAAAGATAGACTAGTGTAATCGGAAATCCAACTCGGTGCCGAGGCTCATCTGCTCCCGCTCAGAAAAAAATCAAAACAAATACTAGAGAAATTCAAAAACATCCAAATTTTTTGTGTGTGGTAGATAATTTGATTCGTGAGGTCGGCTTCAAATTTCAACTCATTTGGACATCTGAGTAGCTCTCGGCAAAAAAGACCAATTGCGTCAGAACAGTGCGTGAATAGTAAACTTTTTTACAGACCTTGAATTTGTCTTTTTTTTCCGAGAGCTTCTCAGATGTCCAAATGAGTTGAAATTTGGAGCAGACCTCACGCA